CCGCTGCAGAGTCCCCCATGCGGCCCCCTCCCGGAGGACCGGGGGGGGGGGAGGCTCCCACCCAGGAGCAGCATGAGGGGGAAGTGAAAACTGCCCGCCCACCCCGCCTGCAGCAGCCCTCCCCAGGGTCCGACCACTTAAATGCATTTTCACTCGCTCCTAAACCAAGGAAATTCCAGCCTGAATCTCGGAGAAAATGGCTTGAGAAGCCCATGTGCGGCTTTTGCGTTTCTGTTTCGCCAACGACCGTGAAGTCAAACAAGCAGACTCTTTCACAGACGAGGTCTCTGAATTCCCAAACAGGTCTCTGCCCCAAACAGGCAGCAGGGTCACGGCTTTGGGGGCCACGGAGGTTTCCAGCAGGGACAGCTCAGCCCCCCCCCCCGGGCTCCCTTCCGTCCTCGGCTCCCACGGAAAGGACTCATCACCAGCTACCTTCAGCAAGGGGCGCGAGAGGTTCATGTCTTGGAAGGACAGGCTGTCATCGTAATGCGAGGCATCTTCCCCAAAGAACAGCTCCGCTTCTTGGATAGCGAGATCCTAAAGACAGACAGGGAGGAGGACCTTCCTGTGAGGGGGGGGGGTTCTTCCCCTCCTGACATGCCCCTCTCATCGGCAGGCGGTGGCCACCCGCTTCCCAGGCTTACCTCTTCTCCTCCCCCTCTTCTCCGCTTCTGCTTCCCCTTCACCTTGAGTGTGTCTGCAAAGGAACAGAAGCCAAACGTCGTCGTCAGATCCTCAGGGCCCCGGACGCTGCTGCTGCTGCTGCTCACGGGCTCAGACTGGGGCACCCTCAGCAAGTGATTTATGACTCGGTCTTTCACAGATTAGAACTCACGTCAGCGACTGTGCATGGAAATGCTCTTTGAAGGATGTGACAAACTGGCTTTGATTCTGGAAGCCCACCCCAAAATTTAGCAGCCTGACTTGCTTTTCAGCCTTCGGAGCTCTGCAGCAGAATGAGAACATTTTCTCATTCCCAACAAAACCCGATCTGTCCCATTTCTCACATCGTGTGCACATTTCAGAGCAGGCCCTGCCTTAGAAGAGGAAGAGGCCTCCCTTCCTGTGCAGGGGGGGGGAGACGGGGGGAGGGGAGAATCTGCTTCTCTCCCAAGATGGCTGCGCCACCAACCAACCAACCACCTTTATTGGCCTTCTGCACTAAGGAGAGTACAAGACATAAGAAGTACCCAATACAGTTAATGCGCCACCAACTGTTTTTATAAGCATAGGGAAAAACCTGAAACCAAATAATTCAGACACTGTTTTAAATTGAGCTAAACTGGTTTTCTGGTTAATCTAATAAATCAAAATCAAATGAACACTGCACCTTGACACAGATTTTAACAAGGACTACTTCCAAACAAGAACAGTCGCAATGGCAGCTTACTACGGCATAAAGTAAATCACATATGTAAGCACGTAAACATGACAAACAGAAGGAGTGCGTATTAAGGCTCTAGCAGAAGTTCTGTAGGGAACAATCTGAAGAGAGTCTGCTCAGAATGTGTCCTTTGGACTGCAGCCCCAGCCTCTAAAGCTGAGCAGTAGAAACCAGAGAGGGCACTTCCGACCCTGCAAATTCATTACCTACAAAAGGTCCAACTCGTTCACAGCCTGGCTCAGGTCTTGCGAACGGAGTCAAGTAATCTCAGATTGGTGACCAAGATCACGTTAATTCACGCCATGGCATTACTATATATGGGTTTAGGTTGGTCGACCGTGTTGGTCTCCAGCAGCAGACCAAAATTTGAATCCAGGGGCACCTTTTGTTCAAGGTATATACGTTTTCGTGCGTGCGCACACTTTGGATTTCTTCAACCATTACATTTTTTGGGGGGGGGGTAGTTGCCAGGAAGGCAGAATCAAGATACATAATTAACTGAGCCACGGGAGCTGAGATTGGATTAAAGTGGTTGTTAAGATCTGTGAAAGGCAGTAAATTAGCATACACGTGCACGAGTCAACAAATAGCCGTGACAACAAAGTTTTGAGTCCAGTGGCACCTTCAAGACCAACGAAGTTCAGTTCTGGGCAAAAGCAGGAAGAGACTCAGCATGTGTAGAGGCAGACACCCTCAGAGACAGTGAACCAGACTCACTCTGCTGCAGCATAACTCGTCCCATAGGGAGCTGACCGGCGCTGCTGCCCTGGCCTGCTCAGGGTCGCTCTGCAAATTACCAAGAAAAGCGAGGAGTGCAGGTTGGTGCCCCTCCTTAGAATCCCAGAATGTTAGAGTTGGAAGGGGCCTTGCAGGTCATCTAGTCCGACCCCCTGCACTCTGTAGGAGCATAGCCGAAAGATAGCCCGACAACATACCTTTTTAAGAGAAGTCCCAACATACACAAACAGCAAGCACTAGTAACAAACTAGCACTCCTTCCGAAGCTAAATGAGGCCCTATTGTAAGAATGCCAACGCCAGCCACAAGCAAACAGTGCAGTATCAAATTTGTTATAATTCCCACTAAACGCTTCCCTACCATGCCTGTTGTTCAGGTCTGAAAGATGAGAAGTAATGAACACCAGCATTCTCGTTTCTCAAAGAAATCATTTATTACATCAAATCTGCATACGTTCACCTCCTTACTGGTCTGTAAATCTGTGTCCATGCAACAAATTATTTCTATTACAGCAGCCAAGACACACTGCTACTGTTTTGGAGCTGGTGCACAGAGATGCCTTACAAACAAAATAGCAGAAGGTTCCACTGGAAGGAATATATCTGACGAGAGAGAGCCTGATAAAATCACCCTGTGCGGCAGAGTCACCAGATGCCCACTCACTCTCTGCTTCCCTACGGCCACCGTATTTAGTCCTGTTTACCTGCTGTTGAGAAGATTCCCTCGTCTGCAGAGGAGTAGCCTTCCTCCTCCTCTTCTTCCTCCTCACTATCTTCAAGGCTTGCCTTAGCCTCCTGTGCAGCCTCTTCAGCACCTCCATTTGCTGTTTCTTGTTTTGTCTGCTCCTCCTAGGACAGACACCACAGACTGAACCATGGAAAGTGGCAGCTGAGCACCCCCTTCTTTGCGAAGTGTTCTACCCTGGCTTCCCCCCCCCCCCACCAGGTATTTTCTGCTTGTCTGTGCTTCTGTCCCCCACCCCCCTTCCTTTCAAGCATGTCTGGGGGCTCGGCTCTGCCTCCTGAGTCAGCCACTTTGTAATGGTGCCTGCCACCATGCCTCGAAATCCCAAAGGTGCCCACCGGCTCAGAAAGGTTGGGGGCTCCTTGTTTTAACACATCAGGTCTAATGTTTTGCTTCAGGCCCCCACAGGAGGCTGCGCCAGGACTACTGCATGGCTTATCAGATGCTCCATCTAATAGACCCTGTTAACCTGCACTCTGCACCATCAGCTCTGAGTCCCAGTGAGAGGCTGTAAATAAAACTGAGCAAAGTCTGAGTCCAGCGGCACCTTTGAGACCAACAAAGTTTAATTCTGGGTAGAAGCTTTCATGTACTGGGCTCAAACTTGTATTCTGTTGCTTCAGACCATCACAGTCGGTGACCCACCTGAATATCTAATCAATAACAACTAAACAAAATGCCTCATACTGTTTGATTACCTTGTTGTTCATCATGTAGCCCACCTTCCCCCTCAATGAAACAGAAGAAGAAGAAGAGATTGGATTTATACCCCATGGCCCTTCACTACCCAAAGGAGTCTCAGAGTGGCTTCCCCTCCCCTCCCCACAACAGACACCCTGTGAGGTGGGTGGGGCTGAGAGAGCTGAGAGAAACTGCTCTTTTTTTCAAGGACAGCTCTTGTCAGAACTACGGCTTGCCCAAGGTCACCCCAGCCAGGTGCATGTGGAGGAGTGGGGGAATCAAACCCGGTTCTCCCAGATTAGAGTCCGCACACTTAACCACGACACAACACAACACTGAAACGTATAGGCTGTCATCGAAAGCTGTCTCGAAGCAGAAGAAAAGGTGGGATATAAACACTTCAATAAACCCTTTTTTATAAAACAAAGAAGCCTCCATTTGCAGGGCACAGCTGAAGAACAGCAAGAGACTTGGGTCCGGGGCGGTTCCTCGGTGGGACAGGATTCCTCGGGAGGTGGTGGGCTCTCCTCCTGTGGAGGTTTTCAGACAGAGGCTAGATGGCCATCGGACAGCCATGCCGATTCTGTGAACTGAGGCACACCACGAGAGGGGGGGGGCAGGGTTAGGGTTGCCTCAGGGCTTAGTTCTCGCGGCCCTTTCTGACACGCCCGGGGAAATGTCGATCGCCACTTTGGGGTCAGGAAGCAGTTCTTCTCCAGGTTGGTTTGGCCAAGGACCCTGGAAGGGGGGGGGGGGCTTGTGGCCATCTTGCATGGAGCAGGGGTCACTGGGGGTGGTATTTGTGAATTCCCTGCATTGTGCAGGGGGGTCGGTTGGACTAGATGACCGCTGGAGTTCCCTCCCAACTCGAAGATTCCCTCACCTGCGCTCTCCTCCTTCCCCTCCTCACTTTGGCGATCTTCTCGTCCAGGCTGGTGGCCTTCCTCTGTCGGGGGAGAAGGAGGAGAAGAAGAAGGGGAACCCCTCAGAGAGAGAGAGAGAGAGAGAGAGAGAGGCGGAGAGGGGTGGGTGGGTGGAGCTCCCTCGGACCCCC